GTGTGTGTGTGTGTGTGTGTGTGTGTGTGTGTGTGTGTGTGTGTGTGATCCTGAGAGTGGCTGGGTGTGCCAGGAGCCCAAGCTTGTGGCTGCAGAGATAGGGGGCGCCCCGCCTCACCGCCCATTTTGGGTTTGGAGAACCAAGCAAGGCAGCTTAGGGGCCTCTGGTTGGTCCCTGGGCCTTTTTCACAGTAGATAAGCAATCTTTGTATCAATTATGTTACACTAATAGAAACTGGGCACCCCTCTGCCCCCTGCTTGGACAAGCACAGAGTGAGCTGACCTGTCCGAAGGCAGGGGCGAGCACAGAACAATGGGGCCGCCAGCTGGAGCTGTGGACTTTTGTAAATACACTAAAACTCTGGAATTAAAGCTCTGCTCCTGGAGGGGGTGGTCCTTCTGAGTGGTGGGTGTGGGAGGTCCGGGCAGAGACCCGCTCCTGATGGCGTGGGATGGGAAAGGCCCTGAGCTTGGGCCAGACATCCCACCACCATGATGCCAGTTGACAAAGGAGTAGCCTTTGCGCACGCCCCTCCCCCTCAGGTTCTCTTTCTTCCCATCCTCAACTAGCGATGGCCAGGCAGTCATTTTTATGCACGACTTTATGTGGGGCTCTGGTATGTCTATGCTACAAAAATGTACAGCACTTGATCCCAAAGCCCTCTGAGCAGGAGAGGCGGAGTGGCTTCTTAGTGGAAAGTGTGGTCCTTGAGGTAGAGTCCAGGGGTGGGGTGGTGACCAGCACTCTCGGGGAGAGATTTCCTCTGGGAGAAATGCCAAAAGTCCTGAGTGCCCTTCACACCTCTCTGAAAAGAAAGGAGGTGGGTGTTAGGTCAAGTCAGATGTGGGGTGAAGAGCAAGGCTAAGTGCCCTTCCTTGCCATGGCCCCCCACTCTGGTAGTGCCCTCCTTCTCTACTGACTCCGTCCCACCGACATCCTACTCTGGCACCTCCTCCCGCTCCATACGGGCCTTCTTTGCTCCCTCCCAGGCCACCTTCCCTTCAGCACTTACGATGTGGACAGGGGGGTGTCCAGCTGTAAGATGTAGGGCCCACGCATCCTCTGCAGTTGGCCCCGGGTCAGCTTCCGAGGCTTGCTGTTCCCAGGCTCGGGGATGCCCTCGATCCTTTGGCTGGCCAATTCTTCCCGGATCTCTCTCAGCATATCCTCAGCCCGCAGGGGGCGGGGGGAGAGGGTGCAGCTAGGTCCCAGGAAGAGGGACCCCTCTTCCTCATCCCCTGAGGACTCCCAGGGGCTTTCCCCAGCAGAGTCTGTGTGGGTCGGGGATGGGGGGAGCCGTCCCCGAAGTCGGGCCCGATGCAAGGTTTCCGCTACCACATTCCCTCCCACTGAGGTCCCATCTTCTTCCTCAGACCAGGTTGGTGGATCTCCCCTGGGAAGGCTGCTTCCTCTTCGGATAACTTCCCTTGGCAGTTCAGGGGCACTTCGGCGTTGGGGAGCTTGGGGGTTAGGAGGCTGAGGGCGCAGAGGAACATCTCGGAGGTCCAGGGTGGAGAAGGTGAGGCGAGGGTCACGCCGAAGGGCCTGTGGGTGAAGACGGCTCACATAGTGGGGCCCCTTGGGGGAGCCTGGGATCAGGGTGCTGTAGCCAGAGTCCGAGGTATCATCTGGTACCAACAGAGAGTCTTCATCTGTGTCTTCTGTCACCACCAGGTCAGGGACGATGGTCGAGAACTCAGGAGTCCTACAAGTAATAGTAATAGTAAATGGTCAGAGTCCGGTGCTGAGGGGTCAAGTTCAAGTCCAGGAAGTCTCATCCCATCCAGAAACGGCCTCTCCTCCACACTTACTCGGTATCACTTTTACACCGTATGATTATTTTCTCATCTTGCTGGCTAGACTGTAGTAAGCTCCTCTAAGGCATTTTAGCCACAGCACTTGGTCCAGGACCTTGTATCAAGCAGGTGCTCAGGTGTTTGCTGAAGGGTTCCTGAGCTCCCCTGAGGTTATCCCCCAGTGATGGATCTGTTTTCTCCTTAACCATGCTGCTGAACAGCTGTGTTACTGTGAATGAAACTTTTGCCCTCTCCGGGGATTTAGACTCAATGGATCCCTGCAGCTGGAACATTCTGCAAATCCATCCTGGTTTTCACTCTCCATCCCTGGCCTGGGGAGCCTGCTCCTCTCAGGGACCTTTCGTCGCTTGCGTCTGTTTCCTTCACCCGGGCAACCGGAGACTGGCTAACCCCCTAGGCTGTCCCATGTGGCCCTTTGCAGGGCTGGTGCCAAACCTGTTCTACTCCATCCTATAGCCTGGGTTCCTTGATCTATTCCCAATGCCCCCCAAAACTGTGTTGACATTTCTCTGCCTTGTGGGTTCCTCTTCTCTCTCTCCCTGCCTGCAGCTCCCCTGCTTTGAGAGACTTGTGGTCCCTGTGGGTCTTACCTCCCTTCTGCGCTGCTCTGAGAGCCCTCCGGGGAAGGCGAGGAGGGCCTGGTGCCTGGGGACTCCTGGTCCTGGTCCCGATAGAGAGCCAGGAGCTCCCTCTTCTGTTGGACATACTCCTCTGCCTTCAGCTTTTGCAGGGTGACCTGGGATGGGCATACTTTCATTAAGAGCTCTCTCTCGCTTATTGAGACTTGCTGTATGCCAGACTGATGCTAAGTGCTCTACAGACATTATTTCATTTAATCCTCAAAGATTCTGAATATATTATGAAGCCTATGAGGCAGATATTATTTGTTACTCCTACTTTACTATGGAAAAACTCAGGCTAAGTAACTGCCAAGGTCATGAAGCAAAAGAAAATGGGATGGAGCCAGGATCTGAACTCTTGAGCTGGCCCTGGGGGTGGGTGGGGTGAACAGAAGTCCCCTTTTCCTGTTTGCACAGGTCTTCCTGCTTCTCAAGCCCCCTTTGCAAGCCCTCTATCCAGTCTGTCCCCTCCTTCAGGAAGCCCTCCCTGATAGATGGTGATGGCAATGTAAATGTTCTGAAGGGTACTGGGCCTCAAGTTGCTCTTGCCACCAGGGTGGATAGGGTCAGGCTTTCTCCTCTGCTGTTCTTCAGAGATGAAAGCAAGACCATTGCAAGAGGAATAGAGAGAGGGTACACTATATTTTTTGTCTTCTTCCCTCAACATTTTCACACAGGTGCCCTGATAATCAAGTAGTGACATCTGAGAAGTGGCTTACAGGGCACCCCTCACATGCATGTGGTCATATGATACACACCATGACCCTGCGGGGTGGACAGCATGGATATTAGCCCATTTTACAGATGAGGAAACAAGACCTAGAAAGACAAAGGCTTTTGCTCAAGGTCCCATGGGACGAGAAGCAGAACTGGGACTGGGCCTTCTCTTTGAGTCCTGGTTCAGCAACTGCCCTGTTTTTGAAGGGCAGCCTTAAAGGACAACATTTGCTTGGGGAGGGGGAGGGAAGGCAGCAGAACCTGCAGAGAGGTTGAAGGCAGAGGCTGGGCAAAAGGGAGGTGCTGGTGGCAGCTGTGGGCAGCTCTGATATCAGTACTCGCTGGTATGGCCATATCATTGTTAAAATATTGGAGTGCTTGCATAACTGGTAAGCAAAGGGCTGCTATCTGAGCCTCCTGCCTCCCTTCCCTAGGACTACCCCATCCCTCAAGATCCAGCAGCTAGAGGGATAACATGGCACAGCAGCGGGCCTCTAGGACACCCCCCACCCCCAAGATGCTCCACTCTGACTGGATGATGACACGCCATACTGATTGCTAAATATTTTGACTATCTCCCCAGCTTGAGGTATATGAACCAGCAACTCCTGGACACTTGGACCTTCCCAAAGCCTCTCCAGAAACACAGCCAGTAGCTGGGTCAGGATAAGAGACATGTTGGAAAAATGGATGAACAGGGGTAGGAAAATGGCATCAGGTTTATATTGCAAGTTTCCTTTCTCTGGGTCTCCAGTCCCTCAGTCTCAGAAGTGACAAAGCAGTGCAAAGATTCTTAGCAGTCTCATAAGACTAGTTAGTTGGCCAGAGCAAGGGATGATGGTGCCTGGGGGTAGGAAACCAACACACCAGGCCAGGTCCCATGACCCCCTCCCTCCTCTCCAATGTGGGATGGAACAAGAAATAAGGACGGTGGGCGGAGTCGTTCTTGGGGCCAGGGTGGAGCTGGAGCAGCCTGCTTGTCCGGCTGAGATGCCATGCCCTTGGCCCCATATGACCCAAGTTCAACTGAGTGTTTGGGAAGTCCAGGATAGGAATGGTGTGTGGAAGGAAAGAACTGGAAGGAAGGGGTGGGGTAATACAAGTATGTCCACTAAACGTGCCCCTGGCCCAACCATAGGAAAAGGCAGGGAGGGAGGGGACTTCAGGCACCAGGGAATGGGGCTATTTGAGGTCTTCCCAGACACCCCAAAGCCTCTCCAGCAACCCTGGGAGGATCTTCTCAGCTTGGGTAAGAGGAGAGACAAGTTGGGAAGGGAAGAGAAAATTGGTGCCTTAGCCAAAATGTGACCCCTCCACAGAGCCAAGAAGAGGAAGGGAGGACTCCCCCAGCAGGATTCTTCTTCCTTTGCTCTGGTGGAGAACACAGCCTTGACAGGAAATGCCTCTTCTTCCCGCTGCTGCCTCTGTGGTCGCTCCTCGATTCATCTGCTCCTCCCAAAGTTCCCCAAGTGAACTAACACGGATCTCTCAAGGTGCCCACGGACTCTGAACAGCAGCTGTGAGGCCTTTCCCCAGTCAGCTATACATAGCCCTGCCCTGGCGCCACTGACCACCACTGTCTTTTAATGGTGACAATAACAAACATTTATGGAGCGCCCATTAAGTGCTGGGCCTCGTGCCAAGAAGCAGCAATGATTGTCCCATCTCTCCTGCATGGTAGTGCTCACTATCACTGCAATTCCCCAGATGGTGACTGGGGTTGGAGAGATGACATAACTCCGGTAAGAAC